TGATATACAGAAATTAAATTGAGATCGATTAAAATGTATCAGTATACTATTAAATGACAAAAATTTGATTGCAAAACCGTCAAATAAACTGATCGAATGTTAACGTTGATATATCGGACAAAAATAAATGTTGGATGAAACTCATGGGGCAGTAGCGACTTTAGGAGTAGCAAATGCTCCTTGAATTTTCTTCGTCGTTCGGGAAATCCTCGGGAGACGCGAGCATCGGAAATGCACGGATCAGGTGACTCGTAACTTCGTATTTCCAGTATTCGCATTTGTTCCGGGCAGGTTCAGGACCTTCGTGTGTCCGAAGACCATTTGTCCAACGACAAATCCTCGCTTCACCTGACACTTTGTCCGAACAGACTGTCCCCAAGGCGCAGGTTTTACATACGTTTACGAACCGACAATTTCCGGTCAACGACGCCTGGGAGGAGACAACGCAAAGTTGTGCAACGGAGTCGTTTGTACATTTAAAAGAACTCGTAAAGAATCCTATGTTATCGCAAATTCTTGTGAATAGCTTTCTATAACATTTGAAAATTGTTGTAAAACGTTTGAAATCTCAAGAAATGCTTATTATTTTTGCCACGCAATAACAATTAATTTGCACATTTGTGCTGCAATTATTTTGTGTCTTATTTATTTTTTTTTTTTATTACTATACACGCGTTTGAAAATATCTTTTGAAAGATTATAAAAATATGTTAATATGCAATATCTGTCAGAAGTACAAATTTTTTCGAAGTTTACATAGCGTAGAAATTCCTCCCAGGATGATTATCCGTTACACGGTAATTACCACTCACGTCGCTCTCACGTTTCTAATTTTTGCATTTGCCATGGCTCTCATGATCGTCGAAAAGTCGAATAATATTCCACGGAGTGAGCACGACATCATTTAGCTTATGCCTCAAGGCGGTAACGCTGGTATCGCAAAGCTTTTCAGTCAGGAAACGACGTACTTTTTTTTTTATTATCGTTTTTGTTATGTTCGCCGCGGGTGCAGTCGTTAAACAAGCCATTCAGAAATTGCGGTCGGGTGAACTTTTTTTCTTAAACAAAATACACATTTGTTATGCATATAACTGTAAGCAAATTTATACGCGTGTACAAATATCACTGTAATCGACTTCAATCTGGGATAAAAACGTAGAAATTCCGTATTTGCGTTTAACATATAGGAAAGTCCGTGAAGCGCAATTTATTGCAGCGATTTAATTACAGAGATTTAATTGTGGAGTACGTGCGCGGAAACCCAACGAGTATTGTCAATCGTGTCTGTTGTTAATTTTGTTAAAAGAAGCCGTACAAGATTTGTCGACATAGTTAAACGAGAATCGTTTGTATTTTTATAAAAATATATCGCATTATACTTATATACTTTTTTGATAAAAATTATACATTTTTTATAAAAAAAAAATTATAACTGTCAATCGATGAAAGTAGAACAGTTAATATCTTTTTATCTGATCCGTTTACATGTATCAATATATGCGAAAACGCTATACGTACAAAAACCTAAGAAATTATTTAGATTCTTCGCTGTCTTTTAACGGGATTCCGAAGCCATAAAAACTCCTTGATTCTAATTTGCAAAGAAAGTTAATTTACAATAGTTGCTATATCATTTCTGATATAAAGTAAAATGTATAAATTTTCTTTGTTTTATAATTATTAATTATTTGTTAAGAATAATAAAAAAATTAATGTAATATTTTACAAACTGTTTAATTTGGGATTTTTTAAATCAGGAAATAAAGTAGATTTTGTGGTTTGTTTAATTTTCGCTGCTACGTTAAATGTCGGAAATAAGAAGAGATAAAGATAATTTCTATAACTATGATAATTTATACGAATATCTGAGATTTTCCAAAATTGTAGCGTGTTTAGCATTGACTAAAGTAATGAGATTCATCGATTGAAATTCGAGATTTTCCAAAAATCTGACGTATGATGCCGTTGAGCATCCACGAAAAGATTTCACTTTAAAAAAACCAGATTCTTTGCTCGAATCGTGGTTCATTTTTTGCGCTCTAGCATTCTCGTGGCGGATTTTAGACTCTGCAATCATCCCCCTGTTGCACCCAAAAGAAGCATCTTCTCCGACAAGGAGAAGACCCGCTATCCTACATTCGGAGCGCCATACCTCGCTATCTCTTGCGAGCTCCGTGGAAAAGCTTCCGGACGACGAGATGCGCGATTACACGACGACTGACACAGAAAACATGTACCGGGTGACAGTTTGTGTATACAGCCACATGAATTTTGCACGCGACGAGAGTGGCGCAGAAACGTGTACCGGATATCGCGTTGAGATACCATTCGCGTCTAGTTTTGTCGTTTCTTTTTTTTTTTTTTTTTTTGGGTAAGGATAACGTAAAACGCATTTCGCGTGTCGCGTCGTGATTCCTTTTCTATCGCTTTTCGCACGAAATCTCTCATACGATCACTTGGAAAATTCAACCTCAGTTCTGCGTCCCGTGATTCCAACACGTACTCGCCTGAATTAGTAACGCGCCACTATATATTCAGCGGTAATATAGAATATTAACGTGATCGTTGCTGGTCTTACGTAGGTATACTTTCGGCCTTGGTACATTTTTAATTGTGTTATCACAACTGTACTGTATTGTGCTGCACCTCGCTCTCCTCCTCGTTCTCTCTGTCGTGTGGACGGCCATCTTGCGCCTATGCTCGACGACAAAGCACGAGCAGAAACGTATTTTAATATACCACTCTCCATTCTTCGCCTATTCACCCGTCGCTTATTCACACGGCGCATTCTAACCCCGCGTCGTATATCTCGCCGGGTGTTGAACATCCCACTGATGCGCCATCACGCCCATCTCTATCAGTGTATTGTACATATGTACAGATTGTGTATATTATGCAGTGTACGCTATTTCACGCACCACCCTATTAAACGAGTAATTATTATTATAATGATTAAAAAGGAGTAATATTAGAGAGTATGAGTTGCAAATTTTAGCTGTATACTAATTTAATACGTACACGCAGCGACATTTTCGTTGATGTAATATTTAATTGGATTCAGTCATTGATTAAATCAATTACAGACCGTTCCAGATTCTCCTTTGATCTTCAGCCCTTAATTTTAATGACAGTTTCTTTGATGAATCTAAAGTCGATCCTTTTGTACGGAAAATTTTGAAGGAGGTCGTTATTTAATTCAATGCTCGTATTCACTTTGTCAGTGTTATAATTAAATCTTGAATTAGAATTTTGAAAAAAAAATTAAGGCCACTTTAGTTTAAGTGAACATTGAAGTTTTATTATTTAATATCTCAGTAATTTATTTCTTATTAAAAATTTATATTAGTTTCGTATTTTCTTCGTTCAATTTATTTTCTTTTTATTATATTCTCTAGATATTGCACAAAGTAATAAATTTCAAAATAATATATAATTGTTCGGAGGATCTGCAATGTAATGGATTGGAATCGTGAAGCTTATGCATAAATATAAGAATTTCACTGTGTGTACGTATTTAGATTATACGCTGTGATGCACGATATATACGAATTTGCATACATATGTATATACACAATATATTACATATGTATATATAGAGAGACAATATTTGTGTGCATGCATATAAACGTTATGTATCTATCATGTCCGTATATTTACCAAATTCACTTATCAACGCGTGAATCAAGTAATTGTCTACCCTCCTCTAACGGACATGTGATTCTCTGATTGCATACTGTGTGTTGATCACTTGCGTGATTATCACTCGTGTTACCCGCAATTAGCTTTTTGTTGACATGTATTTGTATAGCTACGTATCGCTATCTACCATTTGTGCCGGATCCTTTCATTACGTTATTAGATGTCTCCACGCTCCGGATAGCGAAGGATTCCGTAGCGTGATACATATATGTACGTCTGGGAATGTGCAAAACCAACAGCAAGCGAGATCGTGCTCGTCATTATTTCCTCCAGAAATGTTTTTGCTTTTTTAATGTGATGAATAATTTTTATTTTACTGTTGAACTAATTTCTAAAAGTCGGATAGATGGGACTGGAGAGTAAATAACATTTTGAGAATCTCGTCTTTTCTGATTCTGCCTGACGTCATTCGTCGATTCTAACTTACTGCACTCATCAGTTTTTGCGCCACTAACTCTCCCCAGGTCGCCAGGAAGCAGTTGCTCTCGTAATGTTCCATCACTGTGCTTCCTCTGGGCTACGAGTTTTGAATTCGATTCACTCTGCAATTCCATTCATTCGCCCCGTTTTACGTTAGTTTTCTCCTAAACGCTTATAGATACTATTCTCATCAGCATGAGAAAGAGCAAACGTCCTTTCCGTATTTTGGAATATAAATCCCCTCAGTGTTCAGCTTCTAACAAGTATTCGAGCGGATTATTTCGAAAGTGGTACAAAAGCAGATTGCGAAATTTTATGAATTGATATCTTAAATTGCGGAAAATGTAGAGAGTTGTGTGATTGTCGAATTGTTATTGCGATATGTGAACATAGAGATTATTTTGGCGTTTTTTAGTAAATATTAATACCGGTCAGTCTCGTTGTTTAAATATCGGATCAATTATAAAACACGATCAGTTAGGTAATTTCATTTTTACCGAGATAAATATGTTGAAAATATTTTTAAGATATTTTAAGTGATTTAAAATGTGATATATATATATATATATATATCGCTTTTGAACTAAAACTCTCGTTTATATCCCCGATTCATAGATTTCCCACGCGTACATTTACGTAACCGCAGCTGCGCTCGTGAATTTTAAATCTTATGATATCGAATATGATATGATTAATTTAAAAATGTTTAAAAATAACGAGTAAGTGGTCTGTAATTCGAGATGCGAACGGCAGCTGTGGTTTCGTTGGTTGGATGGAAATTAATGACGCTATGAGCCGATCTCCCTGCGGTAATAAAGTGAGAAAAAGAGATTAATATAGCAATCTATGATGATATAATCGATGATGATTTGATGATATAGCATGTGACATGAACGTACACAAGAGATGCGAGGAGAGCGTGCCGAATCTATGCGGATGCGATCACACTGAAAGACGTGGTCGTATACACCTGCACATCACATGTTCCGGTGGCAAACTCACCATAGTGGGTAAGTTCAAAATTACATTTTACACCAGTTTATTTACTTATATATGGTTTGTTATATATTTGGTTTGTTTTCTTTTCCGATTTTTCCGTTTTTTTTTTGCTATCGGTGTTGAGCTTTCACGTTCTTTTTTTTGATTTTATAAAATTTTTATAAAATTGCTTCAATTTCACAAACCAAAGTCAGTTGTACTACTTTTTTTTTATACAACCATTAGATTATATTTTATCTGTGCAGTTGCCAAACAAACTATTCTGTTCTCTCAAATTTTTAGATTAAACAATATAAAATATGTCGTTCTAAATCAATCACATGCGAAAGTTGGTTTGCATTAAAATCTCATTTTTGCTTATTTATATTACATGCCGTTCAATGGTTAAAAATATTTAACATTGGAGTTTTTTATGTTCTCCACGTCGGTAAAATAATGCTAAAAAGTATTTCATTTGTTGTCAGTTACGGCTTCGCGTTTTAATATTACATTCGAATACAGAATGTGGGTTTTTAATATAATTAACAGACAGTTCAATCGTGCTACAAAAAAAAGATTTCCGATTTAAATTTTATACAGAATGAATACTGAAATGCTGTTTCGCCAACTCCCGCAACATGTTTTTCGCGGCGAGGTCATTTCGCGATCGGAAGAGCACTATTGTTTTCTTCTCGGCCCATCGCGTAAACAAGTTGATTAAGTACACTTGATTTGCCGATTGCAGCAAGCGAACGGTCTGAAATTCAACGAAATTCTAATGATCGTACGTGATAGAGAGAGATAATCATTAAATCAGTGCGATATTAATAGCTCGAGTTAACGGCTCTATATCAGCCGTGCTTACGAATGTTTGCTTGTTCGTTTAAATTAATTAAGGATCCCTTTCTTCTCGTACCATCAGTTCTGCAATTTAATAAAGTCGGGCGATGTTGTCGTCATCGTCGCCGTTGTCTTGTTATCGGGATCGATCATTCGATAAATAAGGACGGTGTTACAACGGCATCCAAGTTCTTATTGGTCATAATCGCGATATTGTAAAGACCGTTATACGCGAGCGTTATTATCGTGAGTAATAGCTCCAAATATCGTTACGATCTGAGAGCGTAATTATCTGCAGCCAGCGCTAACATGCCGATATTCGCCGCCACCCTCCAAATTCACCACGGTCGGAGTGCATTAAATTTTCTATGGCTCCCGTCAAATCGGTTTATCGGGGATGATGCCGCTACGAGCGAGCCCTGGTGAACTTGTAACTGTACGTTTCATAGGTCGCACGTGCCTGAATCGTAATAATATTATACTTGCCGCTTCTGTGTGAATCACTTTGCATCATGGATACCTTTAGAGCGGGTATTCAAGTTGCAGAGAAACTCTCTAACTAACAAGAGGTTGTTAAATAGAGAACAGCTTTCTGTGCAGCGCTTGTTTGTAAATCTTAAGAATGCACTACGTTTGTAACTAAATAGACGCAAAAGCGGAAATACGTATTTTAGCTCCATTTTTACATCGATACGCGTACAGTAATTAATTAATGCAAGTACATTACAATTATTATATTGTGTAATGTTTAATTTCTCATGAAGTATGACGCACATATCATTTTTAGAATTTTTTTAATATTTTCAAAATCTTTATATTTAATTATTATATTGTGTAATGCTTAATTTCTCATGAAGTATGACGCACATATCATTTCTAGAATTTTTTTAATATTTTCAAAATCTTTATATTTTTCGGAAAATTCTATCAATTATTACATAATTTTATTAAATTAATGAAACAGTTACTTATCAAATTTTGGGATAAATAATAAAGATCGTTAAAAGATACAAATTTTGTGAAAAAATATAAATTTGACATGTAATTTCTCAATTTGAGGTAAACACATTATTATTATTGCGAATAGATTTCCACCCGTATCGCAACTTGCATACAAGAACATAAATCTTGTCAAGAGTGATTATCAAGTGAATTATTTACATATATAGTGGCGCTTTGAATCGATTTATAAAATACTGTAGTACTTGCGGTAACATCTTGCCGCGTATCGTAATATTTTCATCTAAGTGGCTCGATAAGCATTGCGGAGGAACGGCGCGGCGTGTCGGCTGCCTCGAGGCTCTTATCACCTGTCGATTATTTCAAAAATTAAGTTTCTTTGCACTCAATCGCGGCGTGCTCGAACGGATACCAGAATATTACTATCGTTCTCGAGATTTAATTAAAATTAGCGCTAAAACGCATTGGAGGTCTCTTCGCGCGAAACAAAAGCGTGATTTTCCCTTAATTACATTTTTTCTCAACCGTGTTTCACGTTCAACCGGAAGGTTATTAATTGTTATAAAATGTCAGATACATATTTCAACATTAAATGCACAATGTAGATGATATAAATGACTTCCCGGCGATGTAAGAAAGATTGATATACGATGTTTTGGAAGAAAAGATTAATGCTTCGAGAGAGGATGAAATAAGGAATATTGATCAATATGAGAAAAATGTTTCGAGAAGCTTACACCTAATTTTAAACAGCTTGAAAACTGTGTGATGAGTTAATAATACATATTTTTAAAAATTTATAATTTCTAAGATTTGATTTACAACTCGAGAATACAAGTGTTTGATGCAAATTCTCGATGCAGCTTATTTGCGGGAATCTCCTTATTTCAACTCCCATTACATCACCTTTCGAAGCATTGCACATCCTGTACTCAAAAATCGTTTTCCGAAGAGAAGTGCATGTTCCACCTTTTTCGTGAACTCTTTCCGAAGGACCTCGATTTGTTCGTTCGCAGTACGGGAGGGACGAAATCTCATTCCAATGGATCCGAACGGGCTATCGGATCCCTATGTTAAGCTGAAACTAATTCCGGACTCGGACAATGTGAAGAAGAAAACAAAGACAATCAAGTCGTGCTTAAATCCAGAATGGAACGAGACACTCATCTTGTAAGTTGTTTCGCTTACTCGTTAATCGAGAACAGAATTTACGGCGGACAATTAGATCGTTATTACTAGGAATTAAGATACTATTTTTAGGAAAAAGGGTATTTCAAGATGTTTCTTTCCAACTGAGCCTCATGAGCTTAAGTCGTAGCTTAAAATGATAGACACACTTCTTTTATTTACTGAAGAGTGCGAATTATAATTCTGTCTTAAGAGAATTTGGCGAATCTGTTTTTAGCAGAATATTTTCTGAATCATGAATAAATATTTTTAGTACAACTTCTTTTAAATATTACGAAGCTGATCCATTTTCGTCGGCCATTATTTAATGAAACATATAGCGGATTAATAGATTTTTTATCAGTTAAATAAATTTTCTACGTTAAACATTATTTTATTATATAATACATTAAGAGCTCATTAAATTGAAGTGGGAAAGGAATATCTCGAGATTAAAATAGTAAAAATTATTAATTTTTTAAGATGAAGGTAGAACAGTTATCTATTTCTGATAACGGTTAGAGCAATCTGGCTTTTACTATTAGCGACCTCAAACCGGAGGATAAAGATAGACGGCTGTTGATTGAGGTATGGGATTGGGATCGAACGTCCAGAAACGATTTTATGGGATCCCTGTCCTTTGGTATATCGGAGCTTATCAAAGCGCCCGTGAGCGGGTGGTTCAAGCTTCTTACTCAAGAGGAGGGAGAATTCTACAATGTACCTGTTCCTGAGGAGGGCGTCGACCTCGTCGAACTTAAAACCAAAATGCGGGTATTTATTTATTTGACAATATCGTGATTTATTTACAAAATACGAAAGTAGAAGTATTCGTTATTTGATTAAAAATAACGAAATCGATGAAAAGTTAATTTGCGATAATTTATTTAATTTATACAATTTAATGAATGAAATATATTGCTAAATCACTTTTCCGATAGACGTAATCTATGAAGTGTTTCTCAAGTAATTTATTATTCGAAGTTTTGAATAATAAATATCCATAGATTTAGTATGATTTATACGCGAATATTTCACTGATTTTATTCAGAAAACTTCGGTGACGAAGAAAACACACACGACTCAGGATAAGGACGTACCGCATAACATGGGCAAAAGCGATTTGATACGAGCCAGCGACTTCAACTTCTTAATGGTACTTGGCAAAGGCAGTTTCGGCAAGGTAAGTTTTAACGTTCTTGTGAGGTAACTACAGCTCAAAGTCGGCTGCATCTCGACGGAATCAATTAATTCAAGGTCTTGCTGGCGGAGAGAAAAGGAACTGATGAGTTGTACGCTATCAAAATCTTGAAAAAGGACATCATTATCCAGGACGACGATGTGGAATGCACGATGGTTGAGAAACGTGTGCTTGCGCTGTCGAGTAAGCCACCCTTCTTAGTGCAATTGCATTCCTGCTTCCAGACAATGGTACGGACAGTAGTTTCTTGTTTGTCTGAATTACATAAATACTTTATTTACGTAGCATAAATTTTTAAGAATGGAATAACAATGGGTCAATTATTTATTTGATATTAGAAATATTTTTCGAATATTACAAATTGTTATAACGATGATGAGTTTTCATCCTGTTAATTTCCGTCTAAAATCCTTATATGTGTCGTAAATTAGAAAATAAATAGCTTGAACATAAAAGCTAAAAAAAATTTTATTGAAGCAAAATCTATTTTGAATTGCTAAAAAAATGCTAAAACTTTTATTTATTCATGTTTGCAAAGTTGGAGTTTCAAGCGCGTTATCAAAGTGGAATAATCTGCTTATTAAGTTCCCTATTAAGTTTTCGCAAAGAGAAGCATTCAACGAGAAGCATATAAGCTTTGCTTGCCTGCGAGCGATGTGAAACGCAATGAAAGATTAACTGTAACACTTGCTCGCGGCTTACAAAGATCCGCTTTCTATTTTCCACTGCAGGATCGTCTGTACTTCGTGATGGAGTACGTGAACGGCGGCGATCTGATGTACCAAATACAGCAGTGTGGCAAATTTAAAGAGCCGGTGGCAGTGTGAGTATCTCAGCGTTCATGAACGTGCTCCGCTTTAACTTACGGATCGATATCCTTAACTCTATTAAAGCGTCGTGAGACGATGACGACGTGGGAACGCCGGGGACGGGAACTCTCGAGCGATTCACGTTGTCGAACTTTCTCAACACGTTCCGAATATGAAATGAAAAGCGATTGTGCCCGGGAGATGTGTCTCGTCAGCTTGGACGTTCGCGCGTACCTTTGTCGTCATCGTTATCGTGACCTTAATTTTTTCCCCTTATTAATCCCGATTGTACCCGTCGCAACCTAGATTATTTTATTCCTCATTTCGTCAAGTTACACGTAAATCTCATTCTTGAAGCTGCGATTAATTTCGCCGACCTTGCAATTTACGTGTCGTCCTTCGTTTGCAGATTCTACTCGGCCGAGATAGCGATTGGTTTGTTCTACTTGCATTCGCGCGGCATAGTTTACCGCGACCTCAAGCTTGATAATGTCCTGATGGATCAGGACGGCCACATAAAGATCGCGGACTTTGGTATGTGTAAGGAGGGCATCACGGGCGACAAGACCACTAAAACTTTTTGTGGCACGCCTGATTACATAGCGCCCGAGGTGAATATTTAAGTAGAACTCGTTTGTTCACATATTGACGAACGATGAACACACATCTTAAGTTAAGAGAAGATTTAATTAAAGTTAAATCAAAATTTAAT